TGACGACCCCCCCCCTGAACCCCCCCCCCCCCCTCCTCCTTTTAGCCACTATCCAGCTATCGCACGGGATAACTTAATTGCCTACAGGAGATCATTGCATTACACACATATATAAATCTCTCCCTTAACGAGCACATGGTGTTGCCCATTGTGTGTAAGTTCGGTGACTTTTGGTGGAATATGAGCATAGAGGCCTACTATAGGGCCTATATAGACCTATAGGCCTACTATAGCCTATACCTGTAGGATAGGCAAAGAAAAAGTCAACGTTAACTGTGTCTATTCAAAAGTATATGTAACTATAATATTCAATAAATACTGTTCAGCTAAACCTGCAACGGAGGATGGGCTAGGAAATAAAAAGGAATCCTTGGCTCTTTCATTTATACACAGCCTACCTGCATTCGAATTATTATAGGCCTACACAAAAGCCAATTCGCCGAATATAAATATCACTTCGTGCACAAAAACATCAAAGGCACAGAGATCTCTTTCATGATGATACTATATATACGGGTGTGATGAATGTCGAAGTTTTTATTTTGAACAGTAGGCCTATTTTTTAATCATTCAGACTCGGTGAAAGTTGTTTCCGTAGGCCGGTACCTTAGGCGTCGCAGTTTTTAATTGCTCATTCCGAGGTATAGTCTACCTTACAGACTGCAAAGCGTTGGGATCATATTAAGTAGGCTACAAAGAGGTGCGTGTTTAACCGTTCCTACCAGGACTTGAGAAGTTGTACAATGAAGTTTGTGTTGTTATTGGTTGCTGTGGGGATGTGCGTTTCACTTTATGGTACGTAGGGGTCTAGATCTATTGTCAAGATAGTGATGATCAGCATGTTTTGTCTCAGCTCTCATATTTGAAAGAGTTTTATGTTATATCTTAACTGACTTTTTGTCATTTACGCACAGGTTTGTAAAACCTCATTCTGAGGTCCTCGACGAGAAAATTTCGAAAATTGGTACAGTGTTACAGTGTATGTTGTTTAATTTATTCCACTGAATCATTGCGGCAGTCATAAAGCATTGCTGTAGTATTATAAAAAACGCAGTTGGAAAATGCTACATTATTTGACATTTGATTTCAGGGTCTCCGCTGTCGAGACGAGAAGAGAATCCTTGCGACGACGAAACGTGCGGAGCTAACTGCCATTACCACAGCTGGGGGTATTTCTGTAATGGCTACTGCAGCAAAGAGCCTGAGCTTGTGGGTGAGAATTACAGCGGCTCCGGCGTATGTATCTGTCAAGTCGAAGAAGATTGTCAACGGGTACTGAATCGCACGAGGCGGGACATATCTTGGTAATATACAAAAAAGTGTTTTAGATACCAGAGCACTGCCACTGTTATTCTAATGAGTTAGCCTTGCAGTTGCAATTACGAATTATTCAGATTATTTCAAATGCATTCTACTGACATAACGGACACTGATATATGGCTGTCAAACTCTATTACTGCTCCCATCAGATTGTTGGTGGTGATGCTTGTTTTTACCTGATTAAGACTGACATTTTGACAACATAACTGCCTTCCCCTGGACGCTGAAACAAAGAACGAAAAGAACGAAAGAACGCTGATAGGTTGAATTTGTCAAAGTTTTCTATTTATTCCCGTGAATAATATGCATTGAAACACTGCCATCTGATTCCAAAGTAAAAATATTTGTGACAATAAAACTATTCTTAAATTAAGAGGATAACATCTTTCAAACTTTTTTTTTATTATTCTAATGGTAGTAAATACGACTGCAATATGTTATCTATATATTATCTATCATTAAAAAATCCTAGTCTTATAAATATGTCGAGAGTTGTCAGCTGGCAGCTGAAGCATAATTTTATGTTATGTTGGAAAAGCAGATTTAACAAAATATGTTATTTCCCGGATAGATAGCTTATGGTTTTGATGCCGTAACTTAACATACACATGCCTTCATTTCGGCAACAGAGGGGCCACGTGTAGGCATACATGGGAAGTGAAAACACAAACAGCGGTTTTAGTGAACACTGACCCCAACCTACTGTACAGTGTTGAAAGAAATTGTATAATTTTATAACCAGCAAGACCATTTTGACTGATGTAAACTGAAACAAATGACTTGCACACATTTCTTTTACAATAATCGATATTTTCAAAAACACCAGATGCTATCTCTTTAAAGTGCTAGACTCGTGACACGTTACTTTATTGATGAAACCTGTCTACAATACAGTATTAATAAACATGAGTAAAGTGAAGGCCCTGTCAGTTTGTACATTTACTTTGGAAACGAATTCTGTTATGTATTTTTCTTTCTTTCCTTTTTATATAAAAACATAACAAAAACCAATTGTTTGGAAATTTAGGATTTTTCATATCTTCATCTAGTTCAGTGCACGTATACATAAGGGTAAAAATAATGGAAATTTAAGAGCGGAATATTCCACGAGGCATTTTGGTACATTTTTTGCACAGTGAAATAATAAAAGAAGAACAGTTAGTTTTTACAAGG